GATATCATGCATTAATTTCTTTACAATTACTTCAGCTTTCCATAAATACATACTTGTTATAATAGGTTTACTTAATCTACTATAATATAATAGATATCCATAACCGATATATCGTGTGTGTCGATATCAAGCCTTATCGATACTTTAACTCAATTTAGTTCTAATAATCTAAAACATCGATTACGTACTGGTTATGATACGTTTAACTGTAGGAATGGGAATCGATATATCGATATTGGACCGTTTCGATTCTTTTAATTCGATATATATATATATATTCCATCCTGGACATATCGATATACCCACATGTTCTAACAGATATAATGATTTCAAATTAGTGAAAATCGATATATCATGAATATATTGAACGATAGCGATAATATTCAATTCGATTTTTTTCCACTAGCATATCGATATATTTACTTGTTATTAGGCCTATAATGTGCGATAGTAATGCGTTATTAATAATCGATATATGGTAAATATAGATATTTTTTCATCAAATCTATATATTCATTCACCGATTAAATGGAACATATCAATATTTTCAGGATAAATTCGATTTATTGATTTTGCGCTTAGCATATCGATATACTTACTTATTACGGTTTTTCTTCACATAAAGTAGGAATATAAAGGATAATCGATATATAATAAATATCGATATCAAGTAACGTCGGTACGGTATATATACACACGCGCACACACACACACACACACACATATATATATATATATATATATATATATATATATATATATATATACTACTTCACATTCGATGTATAAAGTTTTTCTCAAGCTCCTTTCGTCTTCGCAAACGCACGCACGCACGTTCAAATTGATCTCAGTCTAGAATGGCGAAAAATTGGCCAGCTAACAGGGAACGACAAATGACAGACTCGGTGAGGCAAAGCGGACCCCGTCGCCGACGCCATTAACCAAATTGGAGTCCCGGCATTAGATCCAGGTTTCCAGGCCGGCTGGCACCAAAAGAGCCGCCCCTTTAAGAAAAGCCAAAGGGTCAATTTCATATCTGGAAGGGCCGATTAAAATAGGATTGTGTTCTCACTTGTAAACACCCTACCGGGGGTAATTGCTGTCGAGGGGATTTGACCGGTTGATCCATTTTTCCTTTTGCCGATTGGACGCCCGCGGACCAATCTGCCGGGATTACACGGAAAATGATGAGAAAAAAGGGATGAAAGAATCTTCCCCCGTGATGTTATTTCTGACCCACTCTTGACAAAAACCCTCAGTCGTAAATCATCTATTGGGAATTAAAAGCAATTTCACACTAAGGCGATCCGAAATCGCGGGTTAGGGGTGAAAAATCAATATACGAAAAATATCGATAGTTTGCATGAGATAAAATTCGATTCCGCCATTCAATTTATTGATTTCAAGTTGTGTTTTTAGTTGGAGGTAGAAACAGAATTGGCCTTATCCGATTGACCAAAGATGGCTTCAATAATGCCAATTTCAGGCGCATTGCTTCAATTTTGAGAGCACTATTTCAATTTCCCCACGGTTTAAGATGGTGTAGTAAATCATCCCAAACGAAGCCCACCAAGGTATCACCACCACCTTTTTTGATGAGTGGAGGGTTTTGGAAAATATGGTGCTGCTTCTCCTTTGTCGAGCCACTGTCTAGAAAATAGACTGTCCGGAAATAAATATTGGCAATAAAAAGCAAAACAAATCAGTTAAGTTCAGTGAATACTTACAATAAATATTCACAAGAATTCAACAACATTGAAAATAAAAGAAGAAGGAATATCGATACTTGTTTTTCGATTTATTTGCTATAATTGAATATACTATAGTTTGTTAGCCATCATAAGACGTTAAGAAACAGTATCGATAGTAGATTTACTGAAGATGTGAGTATATGTAAGCAGATAATCGATTTATTGATTATAAGGAAAATAATTTTTACGTTTAAGCTGGATATTTCAGGACATGATAGAGTATCGATACAGAAACTAACGAAAATATCGATATTTGTTGTAAAGATTCGATTTATTTGTTTCAATTCGATATATATGTAAGCCATGGTTCGAGGTAAGGAAAGAGTACACTCGACTTAGCGAAAGCATCGATTTATTTGATTAATTTGAATAAATCCTATATCACGATAGTTAGGAAAAAGTATCGATCAAAGTTAAGTGGATATACCATTTTTTCATTTTAATTGCATGATTGCTAAGATGTAAGTTGAGATTTTAGGTTAGGATAATGTATAGATTTTTGATATATCGATATATTTGTCAGATTCGATTTATTTGAACCCATTGAATGGAGTTTAACTTGATATTTGATTTATCGAAAATATAGACTTATTGATTAATTTGAATAAATCTTATATCATGATAGTAGGGAAAAAGTATCGATGAAATTTAAGTGGTTATTCGATTTATTGGTTTTAATTAAATGATTTCTAGCATGTAAGTTGAGATTTTAGGTTAGAAAAATGTATCGATGTTTGATATATCGATATATTTAGCAGATTCGATTTATTTGAGTCCATTGAATGGAATTTAACTTGATACTTGACTTATCGAAAACATCGATTTATATAATTAATTTGAATAAATCCTATATCATGATGAAAAAAGTATTGATGAAATTTAAGTGTTTATTCGATTTGTTCGTTTTAATCGATTGATTGCTAAGATGGAAGTTGAGATTTTAGGTTAGGATAATATATCGATGTTTGATATATCGATATATTTATCAGATTCGATTTATTTGAACCCATTAAATGGAGTTTAACTTGTTACTTGACTTATAGAAAATATCGATATAACGTTTATAACCTAATTGATAATTCTTCTTTCTGCAATTACAGACCGTCTGTAAGTTGAAATTTTAGGTTAGGATAGTACATCGATGTTTCATATATCGATATATTTAACAGATTCGGTTTATTTGAACCCATTAAATGGAGTTTAACTTAATACTTGACTTATCGAAAACATCGATATAACGTTTATAACCTAAATGATAAATCTTCTTTGTGCAATTACAGACGTCCACATTCACATAGTCTGAATTATCACATCTACAAAACTAAAAAGTTAACATATATACGATAAGTCGAAAATATTGATTTACTTGTTTGAGAGTATGTGTAGATATAATCGATAAATTTATGATTAAATCGATATTTTTCTCCGATATACTCTCTGGTTTGTACGTTTGTACGTTCGTTGTTGTAAGAAACGTACAACGAAGTGTACATAATCTATTCCACTCATGCAAAAAGGTTCCAAATAACCACGTACAAACGCGATAATCTTATTTAGAAGATATAGCGTGCTAGGGGGAAGAAAGACAGCGAAAGAGAATGAGAGTGAACCGTGAAAGGATCTGGTTACATTTAACCCTGTCACACGAAACGAATTGCGCCTCCTGTGAACACATCAGCACACAAACAACTCTCCGTTTGAATTAGATTCGACCGCGTCCAGGTACAATTTTAATTAGCGCCTTTAAGGGTAAGGACATTACCATAAACCCACGATAATAATGTAGTTTATAGTCTTAACAAATTCTAAGCCGAGTGGTATTACGTCAAGAATTATGCCACTACGGGCCGGGCTAATATCATGGAAATTTACCCCCAAAACGTACCCCCGTTCCTTTTCTCCAAGCGCCGTAATGTTATACGGGATTTTCTTTTTTTATTGTATATTAATCTTTCTTTATTTTTCTGTTTCAGGTAAGTAAACTAGACTACAGGTTCGATTCATATCTCTGTGAGAAGTGCAAGGTACATTATTTCACATAATTACCATCTAATAAATAAAATAAATCCAAAGGATTAGTAGATCAGTTCGCGAGAACCTCAAAAGAGGGTGTCCAATTTCCTAGATTTTTCAATTTAATCATTTTTAACTTTCGCCGTAATATTCAAAATGTATTGATTGAAATTAATTACGATTGAAAACAATTTTTTTTTAATTTTTAGCTAAGAATCCGGTCAAAAATTGTACAGTCCATTTATAACATTATTACTTTCTAAGGTTATAACCGAACCGTTTTTAAAAATCTTAGATTTAGGTTAAAAAGGTTATAACTTTGTCATGGCCTGGAAAGATTATAACGTTAATAGATTAGAAAATCGGGAGAGTATGGCCTTAAAAGTTTATTATGTAGTCAGTTGAAAAAATTTGTTCATTTTCGCGTTGAAAGGTTGTAAAGTAGGTAAGTTACGAACTTCGTTAGGTTACAAATAATTCGATTTCGCCTGTAACGGTTAAAAAATTAAAAGGTTATAATATTGTTAGGTTTGTAAATTTACATCTATTGGCCTTAAAAGGTTATACCTTTGATCGGGTTTTATAAACCTGATAAATTATGGCATTGTTAGAATGAATTTTGAAAGAAGAAGAAAATTTATAAACCTTGGTCGTAAATGTTTATTACGTTGTTAGTCGAAAAAATGTGTTCGTTTTCGCCTTGAAAGGTTGTAAAGTTGATAAGTAGTGGACTTTGCTGGGTTAAAAATAATTCAATTTCCCCTGAAACAGTTATGAAAATTAAAAAGTTATAATATTGTTAGGTTAAAAAATTTGTACTTATTGTTATGAAAAGGTTATAACGTTGATTGGTTTTTATAAATCTGATAAATTATGGCATTGTTACATAAGAAAATTTATATGTCTTGATCTTGAAAATTTATTACGTTGTTAGTTGAAAAAATTCATTCGTTTTCTTGAAAGGTTATAAAGTTTATAAGTTACGGACTTTGTTAGGTTAAATACAAGTCGATTTTGCCCGGAACGGTTATAAAAATTAAAAGATTATAATATTGTTAGGTTGGCAAATTTATATTTATTGTTATGAAAAGGTTATAACGTTGATTCGTTTTTATAAATCTGATAAATTATGGCATTGTTACATAAGAAAATTTATATGTTGTCAGGTTAAATACAAGTCGATTTTGCCCGGAACGGTTATACAAATTAAAAGGTTATAATATTGTTAGGTTAGCAAATTATACTTTTTGGCCTTAAATGTTGATCCGTTTTTTATAAACCTGATAAATTTATACGTCTCGGCCTTAAAAGTTTATTACGTTGTTAAGTTAAAAATGTACGGACTTAGACTTATTACGTTGTTAGTTGAGAAAATTGATAGGCTACGGTCTTAAAACGATATAACGTAAGTTTTATAACTAAGTCGTTGCTTTAAATAAGATCTTTAGATTTAGGTTACAATCGTTAAGTTTATTTGTAACTAAGATAATTACGAGAAGGTAACACAATTTTACAAATCCGGCACTTGAATTAATGAAGGTTTGACGTTAACATAAAGTGAAATAAGTTAAACTAAATCACATAATAAAAAATAGAACTAATAGTAGCAATAATTAGAATTTAAGGAAAAGTATTAATAATAAAGCATTATCTGTCTTGTGCGAACATAATCACAAACTGTCAACTTAAAAGTTATGAAAAGGATGGTGACAAGCTTTCTTATGTAGCAAAAGCACTTAATAATATTGTGAACTATGCTGTCTTTGTTTGGAGGGAGATGAGTTGTTGGTACAAACGGGATGTAAAAGAGGTAAGGGAGGCAGCTTTGCGGTTTGGGAAGGTAAGAGAATTCCTGAGATTGACTCGAGCTAGGAAGGTCCTCTCAAATGTGGAGGTTTTATGACGAAGAAGATATAGGGTCATTGGGAAACTAGTGGATGTGAGAGTGGATAGAGGATTTGAACTGAAATAGCTTGAAATTGTAGTGAAGTAGTCGAGAGTTTATGGACTGGTAAAGGAAGGATCCTAGGAAATACTGTCTAGGGAAAAATGGATAACGCCAGGAAAGATTAGATTACAAGTGTGTAAGACTAGACATTCGGGGTTACGGAAAATAAATCTGACAAAATAATTCGTCCGTCATTTCAGACGCTCTTCTCGTTCCTACGAAAGTCCGACATAAGCGACACGGCTGTAGCCGAAGAAATAAAAATGAGGGAGGAGACAAAGAGTGGTGAAAGGTAAAATTAACAGCCAGGCGAAATTGACAGCATCGGGAAATTTGGGAAATATGTGGTTTAGAGGAAAGGTTTTCGTCAAAGGAAACACCGAGGTTTTTAACAGTGGGCTGGCTGTTGATAGTAAAAGGATGGGACGTAGTTATTATGTACGGTTATAAAACCGAATGACTGTAACGTTGGGAGTTAGAAAATTGACATCTTGGCCTACGTTGAAACGTGAATATTTTTGAAATTTCGTTGTTTGATTCATAAATAATTATATTGTAAAATATGTAAAATTTCGCGATTTTAATCGGCATTCCACACTGTTAAGAGAGATGCGATAAAATAAAAGAAGGGGTAGATGGTAGTGGCTGTACAGCTGGCTGGCTGCTCCGGAGCGGATCCGACGTGGCTCCTGATCCATCCGAGCACCGGGCAGATGAACGTGTAGACGGTGGTGACATCAGGGTGGCCGCAAGCCACTTTTATCTTCCTCTTGGCTGTGAACTGAGTTAGGTCGCAGGTGTGGAGCCAGGCTGACGTATGGACGACTCCGTATGCGCTCCCGTTGCAGACGAGGAGGTGGCCCCAGTCGCTAGAGCACGGTTGGACCCGGGAGTCGTTGAGACAGATGGATCGGCGGCTCGCGTGCCTAAAAAATGATTTTTCTCGAGTCAGGTTCAACGCCTTGACCTAACCTCGGAACCTAACAGCTCACTTGGAAAGGCATCGGCAGGCGTATGGGCCGTGCATCGCGTAGACGTACGCCGAGCGCAGGATCCCAGGATCCATGGACTGAGTTGGGTCGCCGCCGTAACCCGCCACCTGGCACACGGTCATCTCGTTACTTGCCGACGGCCAACTGCTGCCCAACGGGACTGGCTGCACCCTCTTGTCCTCTATCTTGTGGTACAGCTGGAAAATAACAAAACAGAAAAAGATCCGCGAAAGTACTTCAAAAGCTGTCTTAATTCGTGCTTTAAGAAAAGATTATAACAATAAAAAGTTATAACGTTGTTAGGTTATAAATTGAAAAGGTTAACTGTTAGGTTAGGGAATTGATAAGTTTCGCCATTGAAGGATATAACGTTGTTAGGCTACAAAATGAAAAATACTGTAACTTTGTCAAATTAGAGAACTGAAAAGTTATTGGTAGAATAAAAATCAATAAGTTTTAGCCTTAAAAGGTTATAAAATTACTAATTGTTATACCGTTTTGAGGTTAAAAAAATTGTAAGTTTTGGCGTTCAACTATTACAACGTTGGTAGGTTATAAAATTAATAAGTTATGGCTTGATAAGTTATACATAGGTATGTTATAAAGGTTTTGGCCTTGAAAGGGTATAAAAGTTATCTTAATATTTCTTTAAAAATAGAATAGTTCAGGTTTTAAAGAAGTGTTATAACATTGAAATGTAGTACATTATTCATAGGTTATAATGCTGTGAAGATCGCACCTACAAAACTATAACATTTTATAACCTAATTCACAAATCTTCTTTCTATAATTACAGACGTCCAAATTTACGTAACCTGCATCATCGCACCTACAAAACTTAACATTTTATTACCTAATTCACAAATCTTCTTTCTATAATTACAGACGTCCAAATTTACCTAACCTGCATCATCGTACCTACAAAACTGTAACATTTTATTACCTAATTCACAAATCTTCTTTCTATAATTACAGACGTCCAAATTTACCTAACCTGCATCATTACACCTACAAAGCTATAACGGTTTTAAACTAAATGACAAATCTTTCTATAGATACAGACGTCCATGTTCACATAACCTGAACCTTTATTAATTGGATTTTCTCACCTGTACGACAATACCCTTTATAACTTAAATACATTTTTTTCTAATTGCTGAGTTGAAACTAGCAAAACCTGAACCATTTAAGCGTAAATGGCATTTTTTTAAAAAGAATATAGCTTTAGGAATACAGCTTTTGACCCTTCTAGATCTGTCAGGTTGTCATTTTATAACCGGTAAATTTTTTGAGTAATTGAGGATTTGGGTTTTATGTAAAAAAGGTTTTATCGTGTGACGTACCTTGACGAGTGCGATATCGTACTGGTCGAATTTAGGCGAATATTTCGGATGTACGACGACGTATTCGGGCGTCCTCATGAACGACTCGTTGGATCCGATCTCGAGCAGTAGGTTGGACATATTACGGGCCCCGAGCACGATCTGGAATTAACTCAGGATCAGAGGCGTCGACGCGTTCCTTCCAGAATCGAAAATTACGAGTAGTTTCTTCCTCAGGGCGCAGTAGGCGGATGTGAGGATCCAGTAAGGGTCGATCACACCGCCCGTGCACCATCTTGAGTCTTCGTCCATGAGGAATGCGGTGAAGGAAGCGCTCTCGGCCACCGAAGGCCCGGAGCCTGTAATTCTCTTCACAGCGGACACCGAGGATATACAAAGGACGACAATAGCCCAACGCATTTTTCAAAATAAACGACCAGGTGATACATTTTATCTTTATAATTTTTTTTTCTTGGCTGTTTTCCCCTTTTTCATTTCGACGTCGTGCCGGTGGCTATGAGGTTGACGACACGTCCCGCGGGGGTGGAAAATCGGTTTTCATCTCTTCCGCCTCCTTTGTCGGTGGACGGGTCGATCCTCGAAGACGGATCGAGAGCCTTGAAAGCGACGTCATCTGTCTATGGGAGCACCGGGGATGATAAGGGGTGAATCGATGACGAACAAAATGGCATTTCCCGTCTTGTGCGTGAGGGTGTAGAGTCGAAAATGTGACGGGTGAAGGACCGCGTGCATGTACGAAAGAGATAGCACGACGAGAGTAAGAGCGAAAAAAAATTTCAGACAGAATTCAGCATTTGAGGAAATACACCTGCCATCCAAAAAAACGACCACTTGGTTTTGCCAGGAAATGGTCAACTTTGGAAATGCATATTTTCTCAGCTTTTTAAGGGCCCGTTGCACCTCCACGGTTAAAACCGTGTTCACTAAAACGTTTATGGGATGTGCATCGATGGTCGATGGTTTTTGACCGTTTGGGCTGTCGTTTCAAGTTTATGAATATATATCTTCTTATATGACAGTGACCTCATTGTTTTTTTGTTTGTTTTTTTGAGATGACCTATTATCCCACCTTCGAGAAAGTAAAATCATAAGTTATTTTCATAGGCATAAATTACCTATGAAAATAACCTATGATTTTTCCTTCTCGAAGGTGGGATAATAGGTCATCTAAAAAAAATCAGTTTTTCTTTCAATCCACAACGTTTCGGATTTATTTTAATCCTTCCTCAGGTGAGTTAATAATTTACGTCTTTCAGACTCCGAACTTAACTAAAGACATAAATATGTACAACACTGGCTCTTTTTTAAAATAAACTGTTACAAAATATTAATGACTTATGACCACTGTTTTAACCACTGCGTTAACTCATCTGAGGAAGGATTAAAATAAATCCGAACGTTGTGGATTGAAAGAAAAACTGTTTTTTTTTTTTTTTTTAGATGACCTATTATCCCATCTTCGAGAAGGAAAAATCATAAGTTAATCTGTTGAGGTCAAAACCTATGAAAATAATTTGTCGTTTGAACATTGAGTACTCAAAAAACGATCGAGGTGTAGACTGTAGAGTCGATTGTGAGGTTCCGCTGTTTAATCGATAGTGAGCATCGATGTTTTTTAACGATGCTCATCTCTACTTTAACGTCATTCATAAATTGAACAAAGTTCAGAGAAGGGAGCGGCGAACGTTGCACCATCCGTAAGGGACCACCGTTCAAGTGATCCTAGTTCAACCACTAGTTGGTAGAACTGATCAGTCTCTTTATTAGGGTTATAGCTAGTGATAGTGTTTCATAATTGTTTACATTGGTTGTATCACTTTTCGTTTATTTAGTAGTTTTACTTTTTGCTTGATTTTTCTTAACTCAAATATGTCGGTGAAATTTTTTGTTGACTTTCAGAATCTATTAAAGAATCCACCATTGTTTCATTCGTGATAATGGTATTGTTGGTTCTAAAAACCATAAATCTGTACACCTACCAATTAAGAAAACAATATTTTCAAATAAAGTTAATACATTTTTTTTTTTGGGGGGGGTTATATTTATTAATATATAATAAAATATTATAGATATCTTACTACGATAGCAACCTTGTAAGTTGAATTATAGCGGTATATTACATTTTCAATTTAAATGACAAACCTGATAACCTTATTTATCCCTACAACCCAAAACATATCAACCTAAATGACCTAGACTAAACCGAAATATCGACAATTTTCATATGTATGCAGGGTGACTGGCGATAAGTGTCGAAAATTTCAGGAGGTGTTTCTACTCACCATATACAACAAAAAAACTTCCTATAAACCCCTGTCCAAATCTGAACTGTAAAGAAGTAATTTCAGGTTTTGGGTGTTTTTTAATTTTTCGACTTAGGTCCACTAAATTTCTTATGAACTTCAGAATTACTGCTGCAAGGGGGGACTGCCAAGCTCGTTTTCCACATTGAGACGTTCCAACAGATCGCACCTTCCGACTTCATCAGCGGCTGATAGAAACTGGTTCTTTCACTATTTTACGAGGGTGCAAAGTTTGGAACGAAATGTCCACCAGCAGTGAGTTGATTTTTTCCTTCTTCATCTACATCAATCACCCTCGTAAATTGGTTACGGTACAATCCTTCCCGACGGTTTCGGGATCACGATTAACAGAATGCAAAATTTCCTCATATACATCACTTCACTGATCTTCCCTCTTTCTTGGAGTGAAAGAACCAGTTTCCAGATCTGTTGAAGTCGTCGGAAGGTGCGATCTGCTGGAACGCGCAATGTGGAAAACGAGCTTGGTATTCTCCCCTTGCAGCAGTAGCATTACCGTTGCAGTAACCGTAAATGAAATGCATAACATTGACATAATTTAAATCACCAACCTGAGGAAGTTGTCAGCTGATAACATAAAGCAAACTGATTAAAGAACTGACACGAAACTCAAGAGCCAGACGGATCTCTTGTCCTGGAAAAATTGAACGTGCCCCCCTTCATCGACACCAGTTTTTTTCAACAGAATGCAAAATTTTTGGGCCTTTCACAAGCGCAATCCAAAAAGGTGGGTATATCGCTGTAAGCTACTTGAATGGAGAACTTTCGAGGGAATTCGCAAAGCTCCAGAAATTTGTAGTTATTATCAGTTACCCAACCAACATTTTAAAAATATTCCAAATTTCAACATTTTTGTTTTTTCTGAATTTTTCGTGCAGATTTTTTCCATCAATTTTGCAATGTAAATAGGTTTCCTTTCAGCAAATTTAACGTTCTTTCAGGTGACACAAAGCAGATTTTTCTACAGTCAGTAATTTGAAGTTTATAAGCAATTTAGTGGACCTAAGTCGAAAAATTAAAAAAATCCAAAACCTGAAACTACTTCTTTACAGTTTAGACTTGGACAAGGGTTTGTTTATAGGAAGTTTTATGTTGCATATGGTGAGTAAAAACACCTCCTGAAATTTTCGCAACTTATCGCCAGTCACCCTGTGTATTATATATTTTATATCAAGATGTTGAGATAGCTTTTATTAAGTGTGCAAATTCGTGTTTTTTCTCTTCTGCTTTCGTTAAAAATTAGGTCGGAAAAACTTTTACCACGTCTTGATGACCTCTGGATCGTCATCTGCATGACAATGCAACACAGATTTCGCTTGATTGGAGCGTGGGTATTATTTCTTTTGTACCTTCAAGAGAGAATCACATTTTGTTCAGTTTTTTCTTTTCAATTTACCGCGCGTGTGAAGACTGCGTGCACGCTTCCTATGTAAATCGAGCCCCTGTGTGGGATGGTCGGATTACTCAGATTAGAAATTCCGTCCCGCGTAACATTGCTCTGAATATTTGAAAGTCCCGCTTTTGCTGTGAACTGTTATTGGAACCCGATGCCCCCGCCCTGGGGACTTGAGCGGGTTAAAAGCAGGAAAGGACGCCCGTTAAATCGGCAATGCCTCCGTCCAGATTGGACGTTTTCCACGACCTTTGCTCCGTTTCCATTCGGGCTTAACTTCGAAATATGTCTATTGCTGAATTTGCGCGAAAAAGACGGTCGATCGTTGAGGGCAGGGTATGACAGCGGGCTGAAATATGGCGAGGACGGGCGGGCCCATTGTAGCCTTTTTCATCGACACAAATCCTTTTAGCTTCTCGTACGAACGAGATATGTAAAAAACAACCTATTTTAAAGAAATCTTACTATAAGCCTTACAGAACACATTTATCATATTATTAAGTTTATAAGTCCTATTATTTTATTTTTGTTATTTATTATTGAAAAAAAAGTGACTAGAGGATAGGGCTTAAAAATATCAAGAAACTAGCAAAAAAGTCGATAGTTCAGGACAAAGAGAAAAGTTTAATATATGTATATCATTTAGGTTGGAGGAAGTTCAGGTGGTGTGAGTTTGAAGTCCAGAACATTTGTCAACAAGGTTAAGATGGGATGATTTACATTAAAGCAAATGATTGTCGGGTAGAAATTCCATTAGCATTGGAAGGTAAACATGTATATTTTACTATAATGACAATTCCATCTAGTTTAAAGTCTGTAAATTAAGTTCCATAAGTCGAACAAGTTGAAATTTACGTATATACTATAAGTGCTTATAACCTGTCCGTATTTAACCTTAAAACTCGGTGACTTTGTGGATAACATCTCCTGACTAACTAAATCAACCTGAATTATAACTTAATTATCTCTGAATATTTAGAGATAGTGAGATGAGGTCTGGTGTGATGTAGGCTTGGAAAAACATTATCTTTATCGTGCCAGCGTTTCGACCTTTACTGAGATCATCTTCAGGGACTGGGATGTATAAACATTGTTTAAGTCATACATATACATATAAGATGTCGTGGCCATCTTCATAAGTCGCTGACAATCGTATCTTGATTACACGACATTTGAAAGTATGGCAAAAAGAGTGAAAATCTAACGGTTGTAGGTTAAGATAGTGGTGTCCGAGTGGATCGGAGTCACGATAGCTCAAGAGTTAGAGTAGCGACGTACTGAGCCGATCGTTGTTTCGAATCCCTCTCGTGGCACTAATTTTTCATCTCAAACTTAAACCTTAGATAAAAAGAGTAAGTAATTGGAATATTTAACCAAAGTATTTGTACTCACTCGTAGCGTGTGTTTTCAGTGTGGATGTGTTGCTGTTGTGTGTCGTGTTGAGAGTGTTAATGAGTATTAAGGTTTTTTGAATAAACGCGGCCAAAGGTTAGTGCACAGAATAATTACCCTCAACGATTAACGTTTTCATCACAAGAGCCTAAAGAAAAACAAACATATCCTACATAACAATCACTACCCTAAACACATAATCAACAACTACAACTCAACACTGACACCATCTACTATCACTAATAACACTACATCAATTCTATCAAACACAGTCAAACCAACATTCATTTCCATGCCATTCATCTAAACTATTCACACACTTTTTTCCCAAAATTAAAGATCCCACACCAGTAACTAATGGTTATTTCATGGATAATTTCGAAAAAAATCTTTTCAAATCAAAGAACAAATTAATTAAATCTGTTCATTTCTGGAAACGCTATGTAGACGATATTTTATGCATATGGTCGGGAACATTAGAGGCTCTCAAAGAATTCCTCCAACTAATTAATTCTCTACACCGTAATATAAATTTTACATTGGAAATTGACAAAGATGGTTGTTTGAACTTTTTAGACCTAAAACTGTCCATAATAGAAATAGACGTATATAGAAAACCCACAACTACAGACACTATGATACCATCGAATTCTTCCCACCCATGGTCCCTAAAGGCTGCTGGTTTCATTTGGCTCATAGACCGGATGTTAAAACTTCCGCTAACACCTGATAACTATAAAAAAAGATTAAAAACTATTAAAACCTCAGCAAAAAACAACGGGTATCAAGAAATATTTATTGATAGGTTGTTAGTTAAAAGAATAAAAAAATTAACTTTAAACGAATCATCAATAGGACTCAGCCACCCCACCACAAATGAATCATTAGGTTTCCGTTGTTTGCCATACATTGGTGAATTATCGGAGAAAGTTAGTAAAATTGTTT